TCCAAAACCCTATAAAATTAATATTTTCAGTCAGAGAAACATTAATCTTGGAAAAATGAGCAAGAAAACAGCTTTTAAAGGTTAGGAGTGGGAATCACTGGGAATAATGGGAAACATGCTCAGCTGATTTTAGAAAAGCCAATAAACATTTATTTAATGACATAGAAAGACTGCTCTATAACCACCCATTTCAGGTTTTTTTTCTCTTCAATGGAAAGAAAATAAACTAAAAAAATAAAACTAGTAATAATTAGGGTTCAAAAATATGTTTTTTAACTAGTTCCTCCACTTTTTCTTCAGAGAAAAAACACTAGCATGTAGAAGCCATTTTATTTTATTTTGTTTTGTTTTATTTTATTTTAAAAAAGATTTATTTATTTATTTTATGGGGGGAGAGGGAAAGAGAGGTTTTTTTTTTTTAAGATTTTATTTATTTGAGAGAGAGAGAGCAGAGACAGCGAGTGAGCTGGGGGGAGGGGCAGAGGAAGAGGGAGAAGCAGGTTCCCCACTGAGCCTGGAGCCTGACACGGGGGCTCCATTCCAGGACCCCGGGATCATGACCTAAGCCCAATGCAGACACTTAACTGACTGAGCCATCCTGGCACCCGGGAGAGAGAGTCTTAATCAGACTCCACATGGAGCCCCACGCAGGGCTTGATCTCACAACCCTGAGATCACGATCTGAGCCAAAACCAAGAGTTTGATGCTCACCTGACCGTGCCACCTAGGCACCCCATAAAAGCCTTTTCAAAAGAGGAAAATGAAAATGATTATTTTCCCAAAACTGGTGGACTGAAATTCTTTTGTATTGAAAGCACAGAAAAATGTAAGACCCAACATTTGAATCAAATATTAAACTACCCAGAGCAAGCTCACTGCTTTATGACTCAAAAGTAAAAACGAGGGGCACCAATGGTTAAGCTTCCAACTCTTGGTTTCAGCTCAGGTCCTGATCTCAGGGTCATGAGATCCAGCTCAAGTTGGGTTCCCCACTCAGTGCACAGTCTGCGTGAGATTCTCTCTCCCTCTCCCTGCCCCTCCCCATTGTGCTCTCTCTCTCTCAAATAAATAAATAAATCTCAAAAAAAAAAAAAAAGTAAAAGAAGCACAGAGAACTTACAAAACATATGCAAATAACTATTCTAAAATAAAACGCATTCTCTCCATCAGAAAAACTTATCACACACAACTCACTAACAACAAAGTACAATTCAAAGCCACATATGAAACTATGAATAAAAATGCAAAGTATGTACTGCCTTCAACGAAATAGTATGGAATATTTCCTACTGAATACTTTTATTTTATTTTTTTTAAAGATTTTATTTATTTATTTGACAGAGACACAGCAAGAGAGGGAACACAAGCAGGGGGAGTGGGAGAGGAAGAAGCAGACCTCCCGCTGTGCAGGGAGCCCAATGTGGGGCTCGATCCCAGGACCCCGGGATCATGACCCGAGCCAAAGGCAGACGCTTAACAACTGAGCCACCCAGGCGCCCCTACTGACTACTTTTAAAAGTTGGTAGTTACAGCATGAATGGAAAACATGTGAAAACTGCAAACTGAAATTTTTAAAGGAAACTAAAAGACGTGTAACAAACACTTGAAAAGTTGAATATTTAAAACATGGAGAGCCCCTGTCCCACATAATTTTGTTCTCAATTTTAATCATTTAAAACAATTTATTGATAGAGGGACAAACATAGAGAAAACTTTGAATAGTAAGTATACGAGAATGTAAAAAATTCAACTCAAAAAACAATTAATAAGCAATATATGTTAGGTTCAAAAATGCCAATCAATAATGACAGTGTTAAAAAGTGAAATGTTCTCTCAATAAATAACTTTACCATAAAACAGTAGTTCCCACTGATCTGGCAATATTCTGAAAGATAAACATAATACTAATTCAAAATAGGTTACATCTAAATCTGTTAATTTACAAAAAGAAACTTCCTAGAAATGTCTGCAAAGCAAATTCACTTTGCTCTTAGTTGATAACATTTTTAAAACAAATGTGCTTAAAAATTTTGCACAAATACCATTTTTCTTTACTACAGTTTCTCAATTTGCCTATATAAATCCATCTTAACTGTACTTTTCAGCTTTGAAAAAAATCTAACATATAGCAATGTTCATAAGAGTAACACAGACATGTTTGAAAATCTTATTAAACTGTAACGGTAGAAGTAAGCCACTCTATCTTACTTTGATAATAGTTTCCGTTATGAAACAGAACAGCATTTTTTGGCTGACGTAATTCTTAGGTTCATATATTTTTTGTTTTTTTCACTTTCTTTCTTCATTTGGCAAAGAAGATAGACAAGGGAAACCTTTTATTACTTTAACAAAATGAATACAATAAATTGTAGCTAGGCAAATTCTGTTACAAAAGGTATCCATGCAGTAGACTCCAGCCCCTGCACAGGAGACATCCATTTCATGTTACTTAAAAAAAAATCCATTTTTTTTAAAGCAAATACTTTTGCTGAAATGCTCAACTTGAAAAAGGGTTGGGTTTTTTGTCTGCAATGCATTCTTCCTAAAGTAATACAGTTGATATAAAGTGCTAAGTCCCACAAATATAAGTATATATACCTATACTCTCTCATTAAAGAAGCTCAATTCAAGTTGCTTAATCTGCACTTGCTACACAGGTATAATACACAGTGTACTACAGATACATACTAGTAAAATTTTTTATATATGTCAGTTTATATCTATTGAAGTTTACCACAAGTATATGGTCACTTGGATTTTCAGAATTACTTTGCCATTAAACAGAATTATGCTTCTCTTTTACAAAATGCAGCAATGTTTACTATAATTAAGCATCAATAACGAAATATTTAACTTCAAGTAGAAGCACAATAAATGAAAATATTATACCTTGCTGTTATTTTAAAAAATATTGAACTAAAAAAGGCATCTATGATGGGGCAGTGGTAGCTACTGTAAACTTTAATACTTGAGCAATTCATCCTCCAAAGGTAGGCTGTTACATGCTACAAAAGAGGAAAAGTTTTTTTCCCTAATTAAAAAAAAGACAAGGGCGCCTGGGTGGCTCAGTTGGTTAAGCGACTGCCTTCGGCTCAGGTCATGATCCTGGAGTCCCCGGATCGAGTCCCGCATCGGGCTCCCTGCTCGGCAGGGAGTCTGCTTCTCCCTCTGATCCTCCTCCCTCTCATGCTCTCTGTCTCTCATTCTCTCTCTCGCAAATAAATAAAATCTTTAAAAAAAAAAAAAAAAGACAAAACCCTCTTTTTAAAACATAATTGAAGTGTCCCTTAAAATGGTTCTAGGATAAAGTCGTTGAAAATGATGAAATAAAAGCCACTAGGCAAATCATAATGATTAACAAGAACGACTTCGGAGAGAGACTTAGGTTCATATTCTTGGCTATACCACTTACAGAAACTTGTGACCTTCATTCAACAAGTTCCTTAATCCCTTTCAGCCTCAATTTCTTCACCTGCAAAATTGGTTATTGCGCTGAATAAGAGATAGCAAAGGAGGTATTATTAGCATTGAGCCTGGCACTTACCCCTCAGTAAGGTGGAAATAATCATTACTGTCAAGATAAACTTGGGGTGGGGAGGAGGCTCATTAGTGACCTTGCAAAAACTAGGGTCCTTGCACTAAAACCCACTCTTCTTGCTTGGTAGTTTAACTACTGGTACTTTTCTGCTATTCACTTTTAGTGTAAAGAACTCTAAAGAACCAAGAAGTAAAAGTGAGAGAGGGTTAAAAACCGAATTTTACAGGTAGCAAGAACCTGGACTCAGGCAAAACTCTGTGCTGCAGAATCTGTCAGTGGGCCGTCATCCTACCTTTCAAACATCCTACAGATCCCCAAGTTAATAGAGGGTTAGGAGGATATTTCCCGGTATATGCCTTTTAAAACAAAATCACTTCAGGCAAAAGAAAAGTCTAGCACCCAGCACAGTACTGAAGATGATGAATTCCTCATTATTTGTCGAATGAATCAATACAGGTGTACATTTCAGACAGAAACTAACTACCCAGGAAAACCGACGTATCGGACAAAATTTTCATTTTCTATCCTGGAGTCCCTTTCCTCACCAAGCACTCAATAGTTAAAGCTCTATCTTCACTTATTTAAACAAACAAACAAACAAAAAAACCGAATGAGATAGGAATTATTCCTAATTTCACTAAAAAGAAGTAAGCTTTAAAAACGGGCAAATAAACTGCCTAGTTAGTTACACGGCTGGTAAGATACAGAAGCAGCTGGGATTCGAACTCACATCTCCTGGGCTTCAAAGTCCAAGCTGTTTTCGCTACACTAAAGTTTGCGCCTCCACTTGTCTCTGTACACTGTCCAGTGGAGAGAACATTTATCATTAAGCTTTCTTTTTTCTCCTCTGATGCCAGCCCTTCCATTTCACACCACCTCCTATTCTGGACCATAAACTAAATACAACAGCAGGCAAGGTGCTCTAATTCTAGGAGTCCGGGTATACGCGCGAAGAACAGAAATCTGTTTTACTTGTTACGCCGGACGAAGGTCCTGCGCCACCACCACAAACGACAAACACACACTAGGGTCCAGAGAGGCTGCAGACCGCGCCCAGGTCTCAAGTTTTAGTCAAGGCCCACGTTCAGGCCAGGCGAGGAGAGAGGTTATCCTTCCCTGACACCCCCGCCAAGGCGGCAGCACAGAAGAGAAGGCTGGAGTCGCAGTAACAGTACAAACAATAAAACCTTAAAGCCCCTCTTCAGCCCGTTAAACGCACTTACTTGAGCGAAGTAATTGCAAGACACAAGGCCGGCACCGGCAACGGGAAGGGCTCCTCTACCCTCCAGCCCAGGCTCTGGCGGTGACGACATCGGGGCCGCGCCGCGGAGAGCGAAGGCCCGTCGCCAGGCCGCGAGCACAGCGCACGGAGCGCGCGCTCACGGCAGGGGCGGGGTAGCATGCCGGCGCCACCTTTAAACGTCACGCGCGGGGCTCCGGTTCTGGACTAAAGGGTTTGAACATGTCGCGCCTGAAGGGAGTGGCGGAGCGGGATACCCGAGTGGGTTTCAGAGCTGAGAGGAGAGACTTCGGTGCTTCAGTACCGCAGGGGCTGTTAAAGGCAGCGAGGAAGAGCGGCCAGTTAAACCTTTCGGGTCGGAATCTCAGTGAAGGTAAGATCCAGAGGTACGACCAGATTGTGCTATTGTGCAGACTCCCTTTCCTTGGCCTGCTTTTTTTGACCATCTTTGCCACAGTCTCCTAACCAGGACCCCCGGGCTCTAATTCAGGCACCCATCACATTCCCACTGGTTCGGTCTGGCACGTTCGGTTCCTACTTTTCTGAGCATATTTCTTAAATTGAGGATCAAGATAGATGCCACACAAAGTGAATTTGAGACCATCCTCAAAAACCTAGTAAAGATCAACAAGCACCTCTCTGGATACCATGAATGAATAATAGCCAAATGCTCTTGTGATTGTCTCTTGTGTAAGGGAGGGATTGGGAGGAGAGAATATAGCATTCTTCCTGTAATGTTTTTCTCTACTTATATTCAGGTTTTAGGCTATCTGGGATTGAAACCTTCCATTTTTCCTTACAATGATTGCTTTTTTATTGTGTCATATATAGAGTAGACCAAGCAAATACTTTCAGAACAAATGAAAGGGTATATGACATAAAATCTCTGCTCTATCTGGAAAAGCTTTTAATCAATGGAAACATAAATATTTTAAAACTACAGATGTACATACACATTTGTTTTTCTCAGAGGCTGGAACATTTTCCTTGATACCTGACTAGGGCTTTTTGCTTCCTGTAGGACTCTGCTCAAAGGTCACACCTCATACAGGCCCTTCCTAACTACCCTAATCAATAAATACCATTGCTAACACTATGTTTTTTTTTTTTTTTACCTGTTTAATTTTTTAATAACATTTATCACTATCAGAATTTATATTATGTATTTGTTTATTGTCTTCCCTGCTCTCCCACTAGAATGTTAGTTTCATGAAATCAAGGAGCTTTGTGTTATTCACTGTTGTCTCACTAACAACCAAAACAGTGCTTGGTTCATAATAGATTCTTATTAAATGTTTGTGGAAGGAATAAGTGAATGAATGAATATTTCTGAATACTAAGTGGTGTACTGGAACGTACTTTTTGATTGGACCCAGATGATTTTGTCTATTAAAGTTTAAGGGAGCAAATGAATTTTGACTCTTAACTCCATGATGACATGATCAGGACTGTTTAGGTTATTACTGTGTAAACAGAGCTTACCACAATACCTGGCACATACTAGGTACTCAATAAATTATGTTGAATGAGTGGGGGTATAGTTTTTCATAGAGGAGAAAAATATAAATGGGAGAAGCACATGGTATTTGTACCTTATAAATCAAAAAGAAATCCTTGTTATCATAATGTAGAATGTGTTTATCTAGCTATAGCCTTCAACATCTCTTGTCGTTCAAACTTTGACACCCAAACCACTGTAATTCTGAAACATGTATAGCCCCTCATGGAGCCATGCTCCTTATCTGCATATCTTTGCTCATGTAACTTTGAGATGGTTAATCTCACTGTACCTTATTTTCTCATTTATAATGTGTAGTGATAATAGGGCCTACTAAGATTTAATTGAGATAATACACACAAAGTCCTTGGTAATAAAAAGGACACAGTAAAAATTATCATTTTTATTGCTATCACTGTTAACATTGTAATAGCTTCCTAAATGCTTTCCTGGATTTCTTAAGTCTCACACTCTAAAACAGTGTCCTTACCAAGACTTATCTTTCTAAAACCTGGATCTTATTATGTCACTCACATTTAATGACTCCCCATACATCATAAGATTCAGTATAAAGTTCTTAGTGCAACATACAAAAACCTTTTGAAATCTTGCCCTTAAGTATTTACAAGGCCCTCCCATCTTTTCTCAGAATCCTATACTTTAACAACGACAGTAATGAAAAATTCTTCTCCCCAAACAACTAATCTTTTAAAACAGTCTTTTAGATTGTAGAACAAGTCTCTTTAGAATAGTTTTAGGTTTCCAGAAAATTGAACAGATAGTACAGAGTTCCCATATACACCCTTACCCCAGCTTTTGGTTTCCCTTTATTAACATCTTACATTAATGTTAGTGTACTTGTTACAGTTGATGAACTAATATTGATACATTATTATTAATTAAAATCCATAGTTCACATTACTGTTCACTCTTAGTATTGTATAGCTCTGTGGGTTTTGACAAATGCATAATGTCCTGTATCCACCATTATGGTATCATATAGAACAGTTTTACTGCCCTAAAAATCCTCTGGGCTCTACCTGTTCATTCTGGCAAGGCTGGCAGCCACCATTCTTTCTGCTCCTGTAGTTTTGCCTTTCCCCAAATACCATATAATTGGAATTATACAATAAGTAGCTTTTTCAGACTGGCTTTTTTCACTAAGCAGTATGCATTTAAGGTCCTTCCATGTCTTTTTGTGGCTTGATAATTCATTTCTTTTTATCACTGGATATTACTCTATGGTATGGATGTGCCATTTTATCCATTTACTTTTTGAAGGACATTTTTGTTGCTTCCAGTTATTGGCAGTTATGAATGAAGCTGCTATTTGTGCTCAGGTTTTTGTGTGGACGTAAATTTTCAACTAATTGGGTGTAAACTTAGAGTGCCATTGCTAGATCACATGGTAAGACTACGCTTAGCTTTGTAGGAAATTGCCAGACTGTCTTCCAGAATGGAGGTAGCATTTTGCATTCTCAACAGCAATGAATGAAAGTTCCTCTTCTACTTCCTTGCTGCTATTTGGTATTATCAAGTTTTTGGAGTTTAGCCATTCTATTAAGTATGTAGTCCTGTCTCAATGTTGTTTTAGTTTCCTATTCCCTAATGACATATGATGTGGAACATCTTTTCATAAGCTTGTTTGCCATCTGTATATCTTCTTTGGTGTGGTGCCTTTTCAGATCTTTTGTCCATTTTTTAATTGGGTTGTTTGTTTTCTTACTGTTGAGCATGGTTGTCCTTTGCCTTTTCATGCTGCATGTCTCTGTTCAGTAAGTTAGGGTTCAATGAATAAGTGATACATAAAAGGCTAATGGCCTGTTAGGATTTTTTAAAGTCTGTGTTATATGACATATAGATGAAGGCTACATAAGTGGTTTTGTTTTTTGACATAAGTTAGTTGTAGAAAAATGATTACTATTTTCTGATAAACTTTTACTGTCTTGTCCCTTTTACTGTTATACTTTTTAAAATATACTCATTTTTTAAAAAGTCTTCTTGGGGTGCCTGGGTGGTTCAGTTGGTTAAGCATCCAACCCTTAATGTCGGATCAAGTCATGATCTCAGGGTCCTAAGATCGAGCCCTATGTCGGGCTCCACACTGGGCGTGGAGCTTGCTTAAGATTCTCATTCTCCCTCTCCCTCTGCCCTCTCCCCAAGCCCCCACCCCCCTTTTTCTCTCTATCTCCAAATAAATAAATAAAAATAAAAACATTTTTATTATTTTTATTATCATTATTTTTATTATTATCTCTAAATGTTATTACCTAAAATTATGAATTATGTTCAAAAGCGATTATCAAACATGGCTTTCTGATTGCTATCAATATGTATGAGATATCATGAGATATTTTATATGAAAGATATGAGATAATAAATATGAAAGTGTTTGAATGCTGTGGGGAGTTACAGACACTTATTTAAATTGCATTTGTTATATATCTGCTATCTGTGGTTCTTCCAGATATTGTGAAGAAGCAAATTAACACTTCAAACAATTTATAGTCACATAGGCATTTTAATATGTTTTATTTAAATTTATTTATTAAGAATTGCACTTATTGAACAAATAACAAATTTTTGTGTTGTACTCCAGGTCTTTCTTCCCTCCATATTTATGCAGCAATTTAAAATTGCTCATGTCCATTATTTCTATATTGGAAAAATAGAACCTAGCCTTTCATTTTGATGTATATAACCCAAAGCAGTTAAAATTCTGTTTATTCTTTCTCTTAGATGGTGGCCTTCTTGAATTGATTCTTCTTAGTGGAAGCTCTAAGAGCAGTGAGGCATTTTATTACCCTAATAGGGTGTTAACTGGTACCCAGTACACCTTAATTTCTACCTGTAACTGAAATGAGTACTCTTGATGGCTTTTAGTACCCTTTCTTTTGATAGGCCATAGTTCTTTTATGAAAATACCCATTTATCATTTTCTTCTTTATAAAAACATTGTGTCTATTATAGAAAAAGTATAATCTATAGAAAGCATAAAAAGGGAAAATAATCATTCAGGGTTAGTCACTGTTGATATATTGAAGGTTTTTCTTCTAAAGTTTTTTTGTGTGAATACGATGTATAATTTGCCTTGTGTTTTTTATTTTAAACAAATTTAGAATTGTACTGAGTCCTGCTGTACTTATGTTTGGACATTTTTTGGTGTCACTTGAATAATCTGATTATTTTTAATGACTATAATATTTCATCTTATGACTACTATAATATACTTAAACATTTGAATATTGTTGGCAGTTTTAAAGTTATCATTCTTGAGTGTCAGTTCTATAAACTGACAAAGGCGTGCTGAAACAAAATAACTGTTAATAACCAACTTCAAAGAAGAATATTAGAAATATTCTGGAAATTTTTGAATGACAGCTCTTTTTCTGAACAAGTACACAAAAATATATCATTGTTTGATTTAGTATGGATATTGCAGCTTTTTCACTGGATCAGATAAAAGAAAGATGGAGTTGAAAAGGAGGTATTGATTGTTGCCTTGTGGTTACGTGACATTGGTAGAATAGTAGTGTAGAAAATGTTTTTGGGTGATACATCAGAAACTGAATGAAAGTAAAAGGTACCAGAGTTTGGAACAAAAAGAATGCTGTGAATTTTAAAGGAAACCACATTGTTGAACTGACAGGAGAATTGGTAAGTGGATACTTTACTAAACAAACCAATTAAATTTATTTGGAAACCATTATTTGAAAGGGAAATATGGGTATAAGGGTATCCTTATTTTGAAGAGAGCAGTTTGGTTAGTTTCCATTTGTGGAATTAAGTAAATAGGTTTAGGGCTTCTAGGCCTCACGATGTCATGCCTTCTGTTTAAAGGTACTGAGAATTTGCATTTTTCAGTATGTACAGTT